ACACACTCGCAGGCACTCTCACACGTAGACACAAACAGCAGAGTGGTCTGTTTGAGATAAAATAAATAGGTGGCTCATTTAAAAAAAAAGAAAAAGTGAGGGAAAGAAAAAAAAGAGGGCAAACATACAGAATATTAAAAGCACAATCAAAACAAGGTGGGGGAGGGGAATGAGAGAGAGGACAGAAAACCTGACTGAGGCAGGAGAAGTGGCCGCAGGAGGAAGGAGAGATTTTTTCTAATATCTCTTTCAGCCTTCATTAAGCAACTCTGTTCCATCTTAAAATCCATCACATGGAAGACAAACATAGATAATCGAAATGTATTCTACACCTAGGTAATGCAACAAAATTATTTAACAACAATGATATGAACAACATTGGGACAAAATGAAAAAAAAAAAAACATCCTCCTGCTTCCTTAACTTACAAATGATGAAATACACCATGGCTTATTTTAGTTTGATTGAAATTAGCAGTGGAAGTATGGCTTTTAATGAACAGACACTATAATACAAAAACAAAATAGATGTCTTGATAACATTCAAATCCTTACACATGAGACACAGAGCAAATGAGGAACACACCTGAATCAAATTCTTGATAATGTCCCTAATTGTTCATTCCAATTTTAGATTACTGCTTTAATGACAGACCTTCAGTCTTCTGGCTGAGGAGGTAGCTTTCACTCACTTATTTTCATTTGAAACGTTGATGTTTATTTTTTATTGAGCACTAACATCCAGGCAGCTGGAGGTCTAGATCTCTACAGGCACAAGTTACAAAAGATTTGATCAAATAGGAGGAATTCACTGTAACAGCACATGACGCTGGTTAGGATTTCTGTCCAGTTAAGAATCCAGATTCACTTTAAAATGTCTATTTGTGGCAAATGTCATCAACCTTAAACAATAAAGATGTATTTGTGGACACAGCCTAGAGCAGGTCTGACAGGTGTACATTGTATGGCATTCTCACACGTGTGTGACAAGAAAACACAAGTAGCATAGAAACTGTGGCGTAAGACTGTTCAGGCATTAATGTCTCAAATAAGGGCTTTGGCAAAATGAACGTCGTCATAAATGAATTAAGACTGTTGAACCACACACACACACACACATACAGACTGCAGGGCTGAAGGAGCAGTGACTTTCACAACAAACCATCAGCTACTTTTCTCATTCTTGCACACGGGGGCATTTAAGACATGTCGCTGGCTAATTGTCCTGTGCTGCAAAAAATGTCTTTTACAGGACATGGAAAGTTCATCTTTTCCTCTTAAGAAAACAAGTGCAAAATGGGATGCAAGCATGGTTAAATTATATAATTTAAGTACAGCTGCAATATATATATATTTAAAAATGGGCTGAACTTAAGGGCAGATTTGAAAAAAAGTGTACCTCAGTGGCAGATGTTTTGACAAAATAAGACTTACTGTTGCTGACGGTTTAATGACTTGGCATTCTTTGCAGCGCAGAATTTTAAGACACACCATTGGATAATTGCCTCACTCAAGCTGTCAATCACACCAGATAAGTGGGCAGGAAACAAAAAGAAACACAATCTGATTGGCCGGCTAATCACAGTAAAAATAGCAACAACACAGCAAACCAAAAGAAAAAACAAAACAGAAATAATGATTTATGTATTAAGACAACAATTTGAGATGGGAACTCTCACGCAAAATCAAAGTCAAAATGGCAGCAGTCTTTAAGACATGTCCCCCCTCTTATAGAGGTTGCTGTGGCTGTGTCCAACTTTCTAACAGATCATGTGGTAAAAGGGCTGATGGACGGACTCGATGGCAGAGTTGTTGGGTCAAATCCTCAACAGTGAAGCTGCTGTTGGCACCCAGTAATCACACACTCCTCTGTGGGAAAGAAGCTGCACTTATTTATGGCCTTTTTTTACAGTTAGCTCGTCAAATCTATTCTGAATTAGCACTGCAGCAAGTCTAATTTCTCTGCTGTATTTGGCATGGCGGAAACAGGTTTATTTTGCTTGTCCAATGACTGAATTTTCTTTCTCTCTACACCTTCTCTTGGATGAAAGACAGATTTTCTCTTTCTAGAAAATGTAGCACACTGGAGAAGCATGCAGATGCATTTGAAGTGAGCTCAAAGTAAACATTACGTATTTTCAAAATGGCTAAAGCTGCAGCATCATTCGCAGGCGGGAAGGCATCTGAATCCTTCGACTGATCGATTAAATGCAGAGGAAGATGAGTGTTTGAGCTGAAAGAGAGCTGTGTGGATTTGGCAAGAAGAAGTGAGAGTGTTTATGTGTGTGTCTGGTTTGGCTTGTCTGTGTCGGCTGGATTTGACCCTGTACGAATCCTGCTGCCTCTTCTTAATCGTCATTGCTTTTACTCATTATCACCATCATCATCGTCAGGTATTCTTCACATTATATTCCTTCATTAATGATCAAACTTCATAAATAGAAAATCCCTCATGTGAGATACAATTAGAAGATGATTATCACACGTTAACTGTTGCACAAAAGAAAAAACAAATCAACAATCACTCAAGGGAAAAAGTGGATTCTCTCCAAAATAAATACACTTCCTGTGTCCGTGGAGAGTCATAATGTAGGCGTGGCCGTTCTCCTATAAAAGCATCAAGGTGTACAAAGTCTAAACAACTTATTTTCTCACAAACAGTCTTTGTTTTTTAGTTTTTTGTCTGTTTTCTTGCAGTTGTTTTTGTGTTAGAAAGGGCCTGAGTTGGGTTTGTTCCTTCAGATCGGGACAGCTGCTTCCATCCCCGACCGGAGTCTGACTCGCACCGAAATCCTCCGCCAGGATCGGCGTGAGTGTGCTTGATTCATCTTGCACAGAGTCACACACACACACACACACACACACACACACACTCACACTTACACTCACACACACAGAGTCATGCACTCACACCTTTACATGGGTGGGACGATCATTCCCGGGATTGCTGTAGGGTGGAAAAAGAAACAGAGGGAAGAGAAGAGAAAAAACTTTTAAAACACAGCCAAATATTTTCATCATCATAAAAAATTCCCTCGTAAATACATCAATATGTTTTCCCATCTGTGCAGCTGTGTGACTGCAGCGACATTTAAAACATCAATAGACAAATAAATCAGTAAATTCGAGCGAGGACACATCATCTAAGTTGGCTCTTAGCGATGCAGCTCACACACAAACACACATTTAATTCCTGCGCGGGAACAGTTGGCGTATTTTACTGTATGTTTGTGAGTGTGCCTGACAGATTGCATCATGGCGTGTGTTGTATTTAAACCCAAGGGATGGGTGTCAACATATGAGAGGCAGAACCCAGCCCAAAGTGACACACACACACACACACACACACACACACACACACAGACTGGAGAAATTATTAAATACATTGTTTTATACTTTATGGTGAGTGAAAACTTTAAAGACAAAATAATTAATTTTTAGTACCAGCATGATAAAACTCAACAAAATGCATTGTTTCAGTCAAGCTTAAATGTCCCCCTCTTTGCCTTTTTTGTCTCAGGTACACACACACACACAC